ATTCAGGGGGTAACAATTATAGGATTCCACATATGAACAAACAAAAATTGATGAGAAATGGGCAACTACCGAATTGCATTCAGTTCGACTCTGAAGTTTTAGTAAGGGCAGAGGCAGCTCTTAATTCAAATGGGTAAATTCAATAGGGAATTTTTTGTCTTCTGCTATAGTTGCATCAATTTATGTTTTGCCCGTATCAATGTAAACATGTTTAAAACTCTTTTTGAGGCTTGTCTTTTGAATTTTGAACAATGTCAGTTGGTTGTGTTTGTAGTGTCGTAGTGATCAATCAATATATAAGAGGGAGCATTATTTGTTTTAATATAGACAATGTTGTCCAGACGCGTAATAAACTTGTTGTAAGATGATGTAAAAAATTACTTAAAACCATAAGTAAATGGACTGTAAAAAAAAAGATGCCTATTTGACATTGAACACATCCATAAGTTGCCACTGAATTGCTATAAACAATTGTTATGCACAAGCCTAATAGAATTTGGGTATACTATTTCTTGTATCAGCATCGACAAAATCAGCATGAGCATCAACCTGGTACTCGTAGATTTTGGGTAGATATATTTTGATCATCTGGGAAACAACACGTTCATACTCTTGAGAAGCGAAAATATAACCATCTTCCTTTGGCGGATCATTCAAATTAAGCATTGGCCTCATCGTTTTCTTCGAGTTGAGATCATTTCTTGAAACTGATGTGCATGTATCTTCGATGGAATGTGGATGCTTGTTAGATTTCATACTCATGGTTTAGACAAATATTTTGGAGAAATACATTAACAATTTATCACATATGCAAAGAACTTTGGGTTGTAGTGTGTGTGAATGTGTTTTTGTGGAAGTTTTTTTCCAGAAGATATAAGCGTGAAGACAAAAGAAAAATCAGATAAGCTTAGTTCCGGGAAGACAGAGAAGAAGATGAAGAGATGTGTGTCAAAGTTTATTTTGTTCATCATTCCAAGAAGTGGGAAATGTGTGTATTTGGATGATTTCAAGAAGTAGGCAAATTAAGTGGGGAAAATTTAGTGTAACTATGCAAATTAAATAAGGCTATATTCGTAAAGAAACAAAACAAAACATCCTCAATTTAGAAACAAGACTATATATTTGGGACAAGAAAAAAAAGGAAACTCAGCCTATATATATGGGACGGAGGGAGACATCAATGGCAATTTCTTCCATACTAGATAATTTCTGAAAGCTAAACATATGTCGAATGGTCCTTAAAAGCTTACACTTCAACCTAAACTTTCTTCGAAGTAGTCTCCACACACATTGTTAGCAAGCATCAGAGACACCAACTAGAAAAGGCTCGCGCTGAGGGACAAGAGTGCACCACCACCGAATAAACCAGTCTTAGCAGTTGGACAATCATAATTGAGATTGGAACGAATATTGTTTGTGTGGTGAAGTTGTTCTGTGATTGTAGGCCATAATAGGAATGTTGCAGCCAAGTTTGTTGTAGCCAATGCAACATTGAAGAATGAAGAGCACCAGCAGTTGGAGAAGAATTCAGCTTATGGGTAAAATAAAAACGTGACCACTACTCCTTAATATTTTTACAAGACTATAACAAACACTTAGTGGTTTGGGACAAGAAAAAAAGGAAACTCAGCCTATATATATGGGACGGAGGGAGACATCAATGGCATTTTCTTCCATACTAGGTAATTTCTGAAAGCTAAACATATGTCGAATGGTCCTTAAAAGCTTACACTTCAACCTAAACTTTCTTCGAAGTAGTCTTCACACACATTGTTAGCAAGCATCAGAGACACCAACTAGAAAAGGCTCACGCTGAGGGACAAGAGTGCACCACCACCGAATAAACCAGTCTTAGCAGTTGGACAATCATAATTGAGATTGGAACGGATATTGTTTGTGTGGTGAAGTTGTTCTGTGATTGTAGGCCATAATAGGAATGTTGCAGCCAAGTTTGTTGTAGCCAATGCAACATTTAAGAATGAAGAGCACCAGCAGTTGGAGAAGAATTCAGCTTATGGGTAAAATAAAAACGTGACCACTACTCCTTAATATTTTTGCAAGACTATAACAAACACTTAGTGGNCCACTACTCCTTAATATTTTTGCAAGACTATAACAAACACTTAGTGGGCATGATCTGTATAGACTAGATCAACTTCAAATCTAGAACAGAAAAATCCAACTTATTTCCTAAACAATAGCAACAAACACAATTAAAAAAATACCAAGTCAAAACACAGCCCTGAATTGGAATTAATTTCCAACAGAGTAGTCACACCTCTCTGGGTTGGTTCAAGCAACTTCTTCACGTGGTGGGTGAGGTTTTTTCCTTGCAAGAACGTTGGAGTCGAATTCAATTGGGAACGAAGGTGTCTCGGAGTTTTCTAATTCACCGGCTTCCTCCTTCTTATTTGGGTTTTCCGTATTTTGAGGTTTGAAAGTAATTAATACGGTAATTATAATTTTATTTAGTTTGAAGGGTATTAATTAAAAATGTATTTTTTTAGGGTAGTGTGCCTAATTTTCCCTTTAATATTTGGGCCATATGTTACTATAAAAGCTGAAAAAGCAATGGCCCAGGTTGCTAAATGTCACGCTAAATGGGCCAAACGGTATTATGAGCTTGATGGTTTATGGGTCGTCATATGGTTCATTCCCCGTCCTAAATTTTTGTTTTTATTTTACCTTTTCTTTCACTTAGATCACATGTCACCAATAATTCATACCACTTCACAAAACTATTGCAGTAGGGAGCTGCTAAAACAAAGAGAGTCCTTTCTCCTTTAAAAAAGAAAAAAAGAAAAAACCATGTTTAGTCCTTTCGTGATGGTCGTGCATCGCATTTATAGTGATAGTTACAGTTTTTTGGCCAACGATTTCTCCTTTTTATTGCAGTTTTTGTTCTTCTCATTCTTCTTGTACGCATCAAATTAGCAATACGAATCACAATGAACTCTTAAGGGCGTGTTCGGTAGAGATTAAAATCGGATTAAAATTGAAAAACTAGCCGTTATTGTTGACTTTTATTAGACGAGTGAGACCCAATAACAGCTGTATTTTTAATTTTAATTCAATTTTGAATTGTACCAAATAAGCTCTAAAACTTTTTTTATGGCCTTGATAACACAGACAAAAATTTATATAACAATGTCATGGATGATTCGAAGTTTATGACTATCAAGATTTCTTGTTTGCTAATTGACTGATTAATACTCAACTTGATCAGAATAGTTATATTTTAATAGAATTATAAGAATTACTGAATAATAATTCTAAAAAGGCACGACCATTTATATAAAGTCTATGTATCGTTCGTGTAGTTAACTGACCAATTACGTGCCATATCATTGTCACGTACGGACTTCACTTGTCATCTAAATTGTTCGTTAGTTCTGACTAATGAAAGTCGATTTATGTATAAATATGAAATAAATTTATTATTTTGAAATAATAACCCAAAACATGACGAACTAAATTCGTTATCCATTTTAAACGTTTAAAATAGAGACACCGTTAGACTTTATGATTATCTTACAATGCCTTGCACTTATGATTTTGTTTATTTGGATTTTGAACTATATAGTCGAACATCAAATTCTTTTAAATTCAACACATTTCTCTTTATATGATATATAGCCCCTCTTTGGACGACATTATTCCTCCATTTGTAGAAAAAATTGTCCGTTAAAGGGTCTCATTTGGTTCCTTTTGTTGACTTGCATCTCACACTTTATGTGAAATTGAATTTCCAACGGTACAATTTATTATTTTCATTCTTGAAATAATGCTGTCCAAACAGGGGCATAGTTTCTATTTGAGTTTCATTCGTTAAAATTCAATTTTCAAAAATTATTTTTAACTCTATATCTCCCAAAGTAATTTTATACCTAAAATCAACTTTTTTTCTTAATTTTGAACCTACATTTTAAAAAAGAAATTTATATGTTTATCTCCATACCCTGCCTGAGCTCACATTAGAAGGTTCAATCTACATACGCTGTCATATACAGAGACATATATACATCCGTATGTGCGCGTATATGTGCAGAGAGTATTCAGTACCCCATTTTGCAACGGGGGAGCAAGTGAAATTTATCTCATGAATTCTGTTTGAAAAATTAGGTGGACAATCCCTTTTAACATTTTTTCTTGGTTCTGAGATTAGGGTTTGTTCACTGGAAAAATCTATAGACGTTGCGAGCTGAAATACATATACGTTTGTGTATGAATTGTCCGTGCATAAAATTTAGGGTTTTAATTTTTTTGCGAAGATTGTATATCAGTGTTGTGTGAACGAAGATGGATGGGAGGAGAATAACAGCGAGTCCGCGCCCGTGCTCTGGGCGGCGAGTGTTGGCAACGAAGCGGCGTCGGGGCTCAGATGGACTTGTTAACTGCGTGAAAAAGCTGCAAAGACGTGAGATTTCCTCGAAGCGCCACCGTGCTTTCTGTATGAGCGATGCTCAAGAGCGGTTCCGCAACATCTGCTTGCAGGTTCGTTTGCAGAAAGTGTTTATTGATTATTAGTTTTGTTCTATTTATTATAATTACCTTTTTAATTGATTTGAGCTATGGAATTGGCTCTAGGAAAAAATCCTATGAATTGAAAGTTTTCTTGGTTGGGCATGTGACGATAAATGTTGTAACTAGCAATTGGGGTTTCTGGTCCTCGAGTAAGGGTTTCTTTTGTTTCTAATCTTGATGGGGATTTTGAACGTCGCTGTTTACCGGTATAATTTGACATGTATTTTTTGATATAGATGGATATCGCAATATCAGAAATGGATGAACAGAAACTGCACACATACTTTTTATTGGTGTTCCTGGGAGAGCACATTGAAGATTTCTTATTAAATTTTTGAAATATCACAAGGATGCAAGTGCAATCTTTCGAATTATTTGCCTTCTAGTGTTTTGGCTGTCCATCTAATTGACGAAAGATTGGTACTTTGTAAATAATTGATTTTCTAAATTCTTGGGTTGAAAATATGTGCTAAGTTTTCTTAGCATTTATTTATATTCTTCACAATCTTTCTATTTATTTATGCATTTTTGTTAAAGTTGTAAGAACATTTTTTTTAGACTCGTAAAATTCTGCCATCATTGTTTTCTTTGTCAAGTAGATTACAAGTGGTCATCGTACTAATGTTTAAAAACACGAATCTGGACTTTGAAAAATAGAGTCCACTAGACTTGTACCAGGTGAGTTTTGACAAAGTTATATGGTGACAAAATATGTATAGACATGTATAATAAAGCTCGTCTTATTTTATGTTCATATTAAAGTGTGTAGCTTTTTATGTGGACATTGTTGTATAAAGCTTGCAGATGTGTCATTGCACTTGTGCAGCATTGCAATTTCACTAATAAGAACTAACAAGATAATATCTGTAGAAGAATGATCATAATCTCTATGATCATGACATTATTTGACTAGTCTGTTTTGTTCTAGTGAATGAACAGGAACGCAATAACTATATTATAGGCCTTTTGCACTATAACTGTCGAATCATAGAAGCCTATGTATCAGTGCAGAAGCTGTATCTATAAAAGTTGTAGCCCGATCCACCATTAGAAATGAACCTAATTCAAACCCCTCATCCCACCTACAATATTTCTAACTTCTGCTCTACTTCATCACTGATTATTTTGGGTTTCTTCTTAGGGATGTGCCAAGAGAAACTCAGAATTTCTCGAAACAAAAAAGAAACTAGAATTGAAGTCGGAGTTTGTGGATTGGTTTATGGCTCGTTGACCTGACAGTGTTATATATATAAATATCAACTTTGGCATACTTTAACTAAATTGGGTGGGGAACATCTGTATAATTGAGAAGGATAAATCACATCTATTATGTCAGGTCTTGCAATGGTCGAGTGTCACGCTTAATTCAGCAACGTCATTCTGTTGTACATTTTCTAGCAATTCCGAAGAGTTTTTTCTGTGTCCAATTTGAGTCATCCTAATTGGACTGAGTCAGCTGAATGATATGGTGTCACATTGCAAGGTGGCGATAGCTACATATGATATGTCTTAGATTATATGATGTTACTTGCATTGTTAAGATGGTATGACATGCAGCAAACTAGGTATAGCTCTGCTCATTACTTTATACTTCACTTTTCAACTCACCTCTCCCGCTGTATGTGCACGCTTTTCTTTTCTTGTCACTTTATTTTGCATTCTTGGCACAGAATTTCTTCTTAGATAAATTTTCTTATGATGCCTTACTAAGTATATGCTTGGTTCAGGAGGAATATGATACTCATGATCCCAAGGGTCACTTTTCTATGATGTTGCCATTTCTCAAGAAGAGGTCAAAAATTATTGAGATAGTTGCTACCCATGATATTGTCTTTGCTCTTGCTCAATCTGGTGTTTGTGCAGCATTCTGCCGAGGTAAAATCATAGAGGAAATATTGTGAACTTTTGCCATCACTTGTCATATGAAAGGTGCTAATATTTATTACTTGATTGTTGCAGTGACTAACAAGAGGATATGCTTTCTGAATGTAACTCCTGATGAAGTCATTCGGAGCTTATTTTACAATAAAAATAATGATTCCCTCATCACCGTTTCAGTTTATGCTTCAGATCATTTTAGTTCCTTGAAATGCAGAACCACGGGGATTGAGTACGAAATTCCATCTTCCATTTCACATGGTTTCTATTAGTTCTACTGTTTCTCTTACACGTATGACATCCGGTAACTATTTCAGATACATACGAAGGGGTAAACAGGATGCCGGTTTTCCTCTCTTTGAAACAGAGTCATTGAAGTGGCCCGGTTTTGTGGAATTTGATGACGTAAATGGGAAGGTTCTTACTTATTCTGCACAAGACAGGTGTTCTATAATTATATAGTAATATATTTTCTTATATTTCAAAAAGTGCTGCCATCTGCTAAGCTATTTATCTTTTGGTTGTTTCCAGCATATACAAGGTGTTTGACTTGAAAAACTATACAATGCTATACTCCATCTCGGATAAAAATGTACACGAGATTAAAATCAGGTAATACTACACATTTATGTTAATCCACACGTGTCGACTTCAATGTATGTATCTGGGAGAAGACTTTGAATGAATTCGGATAATAGTCCAAGGATGATTAACCTTTATCTTAAATAATTTGACAAGATTCTTATCATGTCACTCCTGCTCTGCCAAGTCATGTAGTTACTGTTTATTATCCCAGCATGAGCAACTTATCTAGAGGGTGTTTGGTGGGGATTGAAATTAGATTTTTAGTGGATTGTGATAGAAATTTTTGAAACGTGTGGTTGAAAAGTTGTGGGACCATGAAAGATGAGGTTAATATTGATTATTTGACTTTGAATTAGATTAAAATCAGATTTTAATCCAAAAAAAAAGGCTCCTAAAGTGCTTTTTCAATGCAAGGCGGATCATTTCTACAAAATGCTGTGTTTCCCGTTCGTGGCAAGATGAAAATTATGTATAAGGCTTCAAATTATGTATTAGGTAGGAAGACATTATGCTGCATGTTTAAATGTTTTTGGAGAACATTGTAGTCACTCATCACTATGTTCTTATTCTATATGGGATTATAAAAAAGGCCTGTTGGAACTGGGTGATACTAATGTTTATATTCAGTGCACTTCTGATTGAAAAAGGCATGCCTGTGTCTACATATGGGGATACATCTTGAAAGTATTTATTTCTGTGAGAGCATATGAAGCAGGTGCCTAAAAGCATGGTTGAGCTCATTCATGTTGTCACCTTAGTAGTCCAGAATGTAATGAATATTGCTTGTTGTCTTGAGATAATGAACTGTCAACAAAATCCTTGCCGGCGTATGTAATAATATTTATTTAACCTGTACTTCATACATGTCCTTATGGAAACAGTCCAGGAATCATGTTACTGATATTTAACAAAGCCAGTGGCCACGTTCCTCTAAAGATTCTGTCCATTGAGGACGGGACTGTTCTTAAATCCTTCAGCCATCTCCTCCATAGAAACAAGAAGGTGGATTTCATTGAACAATTCAATGAGAAGCTTCTTGTCAAGCAAGAAAATGAGAACCTACAGATTCTTGACGTAAGTAGTTTGCCATCTTGTGTTGCTTTGTTAAAATCCTGTGGATTCTGACATATTTTCTATGTAGGTTCGCAATTCAGAATTAATAGAAGTGAGCAGAACCGAGTTCATGACCCCATCAGCATTTATATTTTTGTACGAGAACCAGTTATTCCTGACATTCAGAAACCGAACAGTTGCTGTTTGGAACTTCCGTGGGGAGCTTGTGACTTCATTCGAGGATCACCTTTTATGGCATCCAGATTGCAATACGAACAACATATACATAACAAGTGATCAGGATCTTATCATTTCGTATTGCAAAGCTGATTCTGATGATCCACTATCAGAAGGAAACGGTACGTTCTCAAGGAAAGTTAATACTTTGGATAGAAAGATTTGTATTACCAAATGAGTTTATTATTCTAGCAAAGCACATTACTTTTGAATATTTCAGCTGAAATATAGATTATCTTTGACAAATTGGATGTTGCTTTACTTTTTATCTTCATCTAACCTTTTTGATATTGTTTTGCATGCTAAACTTTTTCACAATTGCTGCAGCTGGTTCGATCAATATCAGCAATATCTTGACTGGGAAGTGCCTTGCAAAAATAAAAGCAAGCAATGATTCTATCATGGAAGATTGTGGTTGCAGTGCGAGTTGTGGGGGCAAAATTTGCAACTCAAGGAAGCAAATCCAAGCTTCTAGGATAAGGAGCACTGTTACAGAAGCCTTGGAAGACATCACTGCTCTCTTCTACGATGAAGATCGGAACGAGATATACACTGGAAATCGGCTCGGCCTTGTCCATGTATGGACTAACTGAAGTTGTTTATTGTCTCATTTCCATGTGGATCAGTATATACCACTGAATTTGTTCACTAGTTCTCATTCCATGGCATTTTCATGCCTTGTATCCTTCCCACTTGCATGTTATACATTTCAAGTCTCTATCAAATTAGCCTATCGGGCCGTGGCTACGAGACTCAAATGTCACGGCATTTTATCGTGTAGATGTGTGTCTGAGTAAACTGTAGAGAGCCTCTGGTCGTTGCATTTGCATTTTAAGTGGGTTGATATTATGTTGTGATAGATGATTTTGAATTGTAAGATTTTATATATGAAGATACAAGTATATGTAATTTGCTAGGTATTAAAAAAGTAAAATAATATTTATGCATTTATATAATTAAAAAATAATATAATATACATGTTAAAACAATTGTTCTGTGATAATTTAATTTATAGTACATTAAAATAAAAATATGTATGAAACACTATGTATGAATCTCACAGAATTACGCTATATGCGAAATTATTAATATTTTAATAAAAAAAATACATAGTTCGGAAAAAAAATATGTCAAACAATTGATTCAGCCAACGTTTGGCCCTCTTTCTTTCAATTTTTATTGTTTGGAATAGTTTTTTTTTGTTTTTGGGAGAATGTGTGGTTGAAAGATTATTTTTTAATTTATATGTAATATTATTTTATAAAAGATTGTGTAACTGAAAATAAGATAGAAGAATAAATAAGAATGAGAAGGGGGCAAAATGGGGGCTTAAAGTTAACACTATTCAGATTGACAATGCAATTGACAATGCAACGGATCACATTTTTAATAACAACTCTATTTTTACATGTTCCGTTTGATTGCAAGAGTGGAAAATGAGTGGAAATAAAATGATTTCCAGAGAAAGTAATTGTCAAAAAATTATTTTGTAAGGAATTGTTAATTAAGTGTGTTTGATTGGTATAATTTTCCACCCGAAAAATTTTAAAATTTTCTATTCGTTTGGTTTTATTTTAGTGGAAATTGTCTATTAAAGTGATAGTTTTTTCCACAATTTGTTATAAAATTTGTTTCCATTGCCAAAACGTAAATTAAAAAAAAAAAAAATTTGTTTCCTAAAAATATTTTTTTATCAAAGTTTAGTGTTCGTTTGACTTTGTTTTACATGAAAATTGTCTATTAAAATGAATTTTTTTTTTTTTATAATTGGTTATGAAATTTGTTTCCCTTGCCAAAAAAAAAAAAAAAAAAAAAAAACAG